GTGTCTTTCTGTCCTTTTTTTTTTTTTTTTTATTCTGCATGGCGAGGTTCGGCCCTGCAATTGGTGGAGTCCGTATCTTTATTGGAGACTCCGCCCCCCCCGCTCCCCCCGCCGGAGCTTGACAAGGTTGGCCCGGCGCTGTCAGCCACAGTCATACGTGTTGCTTTTAGTCCCAGTGGACGGAGTTTCTCTGACAAACACCGACCGACAGCCGCAGCAGCAGCAGCAGGAGCAGCAGCAGTAGGAGCAGGAGCAGAGGTGATGCAGCAGCAGCAGCAGCAGCAGCGACACTGCAGAGCCTCAGCACTTTGACTTCACTGCTTCACTGCAGGTTTGTGAGCAAAACTGTTGCACTGTTTACATTAAGAGCGGCAGGACTGAGCGGAGTCTACGCTGGGACTGAGAGGAGTCTGACAGGAAGAGTGGTGTGTCAGTGAACGCACCGCAGCAGCGCGTGTGTGTTAGTGTGTGTGTGAGTGTTTAGACAACAGGCTGCTCTACACCTCCGCCTTTAAAATATTCACATCTGATGTCCGCTCGTTGCAGGTTTCATGTGTCCCGGCTGGACTCGATGCCCTGAAGAGGAGCGCGCGTCGACACGGGAGATTACAGAGAATACGGTTAAAACATCCAGGCGTCTGTCAATGGACACAGTGACGACCACGTAAAGGAAAGAAGAAGAAGAAATACATAAAAATAAAAATAAAAATTACAACCACACACGGGAAGAGACGCCGACTAAGCCGCAGACATGGATGTGACGGCGGATCAGCCTCGCTGGATGCACCACGCCGTGCTCAACGGACAACACCCGGACTCTCACCACCCAGGCCTGGGTCACAACTACATGGAGCCCACGACGCAGCTCCTGCCTCCGGACGAGGTGGATGTTTTCTTTAACCACCTGGACTCACAGGGGAACCCGTACTACCACAACTCCGCCCGGGCCAGAGTGTCCTACAGCCAGGCTCACGGTGAGACGCAGCCTCCGTGACGACACTCATTCACACCGAGTCTCGTCGAGACCATTTTAAATCTGCAGCATAAATTGTCTAAACACGTTTGGCCTAAAACTGACGGTAAAAAAAAAGAAAAGAAAATTACAAAATGGAGGGAATTATTATTTATATTGAGTCAATGTTATATACAGAGCCGGAATATAAGTCAAATTATCTTATTTTCTCTCTAAAGAAAAAAGAAAATATAACATGAAAACAATGTGACAGGTCAAGTCACAAACCGGAGGGAAAAACAAATATAAATATATTTCCCTAGATATCTTCAAAATGTATTTTTTTTTAATTCACGGTCATCAAAATATATGCAACATTATTTTGATGACCCCGATTTGAATGTTTTTGTAAATCCCACACGTGTAGTTCCACGGAAAAATAACGAAACAAATCTAGTTTTTTATTATTTTGTCGCGTTAAAGAAAAAAAATAAACATGAAATCCTTTATTGGAATAATTAAAATATTTTTTAAAATAATTTTGGTGACATCATTTTTGGGTCATTTTAATAAAATCAAGGGAGATTTCCTAGAAGTCATTCTGAGGTAAAGGTCAGAAATGCAAATGAATCAGTAATAGAAATGAAAAAATATATTTGGATTTTGAGTCATGCATTTGTGTCATGAAGTGCACCGGAAAAACTGTATAAATATATATATATGTGTATATGCATAATATTTTTTGTGTGTTTTTCTCGCCTGCACCAAAACCTCGATGCTGTAAAAACAAACATTATTATTATGAATAATAAATAAATAACGCTGCAGTGAAGGCAGACGTCGTCTTTTCTAACGTTATGTCGCCTTCTTTCTCAGCTCGACTGACGGGGACTCAGGTGTGCCGGCCTCACCTCATCCACAGCCCGGGCATTTCGTGGCTGGACGGGGGCAAAGCCACGCTCTCGGCTCACCACCACCACCACCACCACAACGCCTGGGCCGTCAGTCCCTTCAGCAAACCCAGCCTCCACCACCCGGGCTCGGCCTCCCCCGGCGGCCTCTCCGCGGTCTACCCGTGCAGCAGCAACTCCAACACCGTCTCCGCTCCGTCGTTAACGCCGCCGTCCCACAGCAGCCCCCATCACCTGTACACGTTCCCCCCGACGCCGCCGAAGGACGTGTCGCCAGACCCGGGCGCCGCGTCCCCCTCCTCCTCCTCCGTCAGCAGAATGGACGAGAAGGAATCTATCAAATACCAAATGTCGCTGACGGAGGGGATGAAGATGGAGGGCTCCAGCCCGCTGAGGAGCAGCCTGGCCTCCATGAGCGCGCAGACCCCCTCCACCCACCACCCCATACCCACGTACCCGACCTACTCCCTCCCCGCTGCCCACGAGTACGGCGGCAGCCTGTTCCACCCGGGCAGCCTCCTGGGAGCATCGTCCAGCTTCAACCCCAAAAACAAAGGCAAGGCACGTTCCTGCACCGGTGAGTCCCCGGGACAGATGACAAATAAAAAACATAGTCCCGACCACCAGCGACAAAAAGCCGTAATAAATGATATAAAATAACCAATAGTCCAATCCTCAATGCCACATACAGTACTAGTGATATTTTAATAAATGTTCATTAAAATCACATATTACCGTCACCTATTGGTAAAAACTTACATTTGTAGAAAAATACTTCACTATAAATATTCTGGGGCCAAAGAGAAGAATCTTGACGGGGCTTTGAATCTGATACTTCACTATAAAGAGAGAATCTTGACGTGGCTTTGAATCTGAAATAGGCTTTTATTGTTGTGTAAATTCCCCCTTAAAAAAAATTAACTGATTACACACTGTTAGTATAAATACACGTAATCTATTAATCCAGACGATTTATAATGGGGAATATATCAACATTACACAAAATAAACAGGCAGTTATTATTAGTAATAATCAACGAGAGGTGAAAAAATAAAAGTGAAAGAAGACGAATTGATTCATTAAAGGCTCCATTGTGTTTGAGTTGTATGTGAAATTACGACTTAAATCAATGTTGATGCTGATGAGGAACTGAATATAAAACCATTCTGTTAACGTGATTTCACACTGAGCTGCTCTTTATATGAGCTCACAGAGTGAATCTGTCTTTGTTTTGGACCAATCACATAAAATAAATAACTGAGGGATATATTTAGATAGAAATACATTAAAAAAAATTTAAAAAAATCAACTATGGCTCATAATGTAAAAAAAAATCAACTATGGCTTATAATGTAACGTTGCCAGATCTGTGCAGTTTGACTTTAAATCACAAAAAAACAAACAAATAGTGTGTCTTTATGATGGCTAATAAAACCATTAGTGTATGACATACTTCTTAGGTCTCTCTCTCTTTCTCTCTCTCTATGTGTGTGTGTGTCATCTCAGATGTGCAGCCGTCATTTGACAGCGTGCAGTGATTTGGTCATCATCACGTGTGAAATGATAATTTAGGAAATTGAATTAGAGCAATACATTCTAATAATAAATGACTGGTAGCAGAGATGATAATGGAGGCGCGCGTGTGTCGTGGATGTTCTGAAAGGTCTGTGCCTTCACTCCACTGTTCTCCAACACACACACTCACACAGAGAGAGAGAGAGAGAGAGAGAGAGAGGACCATAATCTTCTTTTTGTTAAACCGTGACTCTGTAATTATGCCTGATCTGGCTGCAGCAGAACACTGAGCTGGATCCAGCCCAGAGGTGTGAAAGGAGGATCCGCAGGTGCACGGAGCCAAAGCCTCAGTATTTAGGCCAGAGTTGCTTCTCTGTTACATCTGAGGGACATTAAGACATTGCCCTGATTGTCATTTGATTACACACCGGGACACTTCCAGCTTCAAACTGGCTTGTGTTCTATAACTAACTATTTCACCGCAGCAGGTAACGTGAGCTGCTGTGTGTGTATGAAACTGGAGACGACTTCACAAATGGCTGCAAAATGTGTTTTGTTTTGGTTTTGGTTTTGTTTTTTTTGCTGCCTTCAATGACATCTTTGTTTGGGAGACTAAGTGTCTGCTGTGATGTCACCAACAGAGAAATCTAAAAGAGGAGATTCGGGAATATTTATTGACTGATGAGTTTTCGTGGCAGGGACTTTTCATAAAAATTGAGGAATTAATTTGACATTCATAGAAACCAATAACCATATGACCACTGAAAGGAGCTTCAATCTGCAGCTGCATCTGCTATCGTTAACTAGACCAGTGTTTCCCAACCGTTTTTAACCACAACACATATATATCATCAGGAAGAAAAAAAAAAAAACCCACGGCACACCACCAAACAGAAATCTCACCAAACGTATACGTAATGAAATAGAAGAATCTTCAGCATTGACTAAAACCTCGGCCTGTTTGGTTGAAGACAACACTGATATACCGGCAGGAATTGAAGAAAGACACTCACACAAAGATCTTCTTCAACAGCTCTGATTATCTTTTTTTTTTAGTTTTCACAGCTATCTGCTGCCACCTAGCAGTCGAGTATTTAACTGTTCGGCCTTTCATGCTTTGACCAGCAAAGAAAAACGCAGTAAATAAATAATAGTTTTCAAAATTTAAATTTTTCCACGGCACACACTGAACTAGAGTTGTTGAACACCTGCGGTGATGAACGCACACAATGAAATGTTTTTGTTTTTTTTTATGCCTGTGGACCTGACGTCTCTGCACGCAGCGCTAACACACGCTGTCACATTTGGTTTCACAGATGTCACTCTGTGTTTCTCCTCAGAGGGCCGTGAGTGTGTGAACTGCGGCGCCACCTCCACGCCTCTGTGGAGACGCGACAGCACTGGACACTACCTGTGCAACGCCTGCGGCCTGTACCACAAGATGAACGGCCAGAACAGACCACTCATCAAACCCAAACGCAGGCTGGTGAGTCCCACGTCCGTCCAGCCGCGGCTCCATGGAGCTGTGTGTGTGTGTAGTGGGGGGGCAGTAAATAAAGTAGTGTAAGGTGTAAGGCAGGGTGGAGGGGAGTCGGGGGAGGGAGGGAGGCTGTACAATGCCAGGAAAGTTATATTTTCCCAATCAGCTTCCAGGTATTGTGTTTGTAGTTCACCTCTTGGCCCCGTGAGCCGGGCCTGTCAGCAGACCATCTCTGCTGCTGCTGTTATCGTTATTACTGCTACTTCTGATATTGTCATTGATAGCAGCAGCCACAGAAACTCATAAACTCTCTGCTGCTGCTGCTGCTGCTGCTGCTGCTGCTGCTGCTGCTGCTGCACGTTCCAGGTTATTCTTTTCTTATCTACAACTGTGAATGAGAGTCGATGAAATCTCCAAAAAAATTGAGTTATTATTTTTTTATTTATTTTTTTTGTGGCTTTAACACACAGTTGTGTCTTTCTCTTCTCTGACAGAAGACATTTAGATTTATTTGAGTAGAAAAATGAATAAAGACACATTTTGTGTTAGGTTCATCTGAGTTAAAAAAAAGAAAAAGAAAAACAAGTTTAAACCTTGGTGATTTTAAGAGCAGTGGAGAAGAAAAATAAAGGAACATTTTCAGATAAAGCCATTTCAAATAGTGTTTAACTAAAAAAAAAAAAAAAAAGAAGCTGCTAAAATCCATCACTTCAGACCTAAATAAAAACGCCTTTTTTTTCTTTTTTTTTATGTTCAAACAGTTTTTGTCTTGTATCCAGAAAGACACGACAAAGACGTCAAATTATAACATGACAGATAAAGAGCGGGGTCCTTACACTGGATTGCGTGACTGTTGCAACAGTTGTGTTTGTGGAAGCTGCAGCAGGAAGGCGGCCGGGTTTAAAAAACTAAACCGGCGGCCGCTCATTAAATCAGCACAGGCCTCATTAACAACACCGAGCTGCCAGCGCAATAAAACACGGCTGTGACACACGACAGAAATACAACAGCGAATGGAATTAAAGCATAACATTTAAACCAATGGGTTTATAGGGAGGAAAAAAATATATATATTTAAACAAGTAAATCATAAATTTAAAGAGCGCATGAGCCGTTAGGGTGCGACGCGTGGATAAAACTTTTTTTTAAAAATTATTATTATTATATGTCGCTGGTCGATTAAATACACAGTACTTTATATAATACTGCAGTACTACTGTCAGCGTGGCCCTGCTGCTGAGTTAACCGTTAACGCGGTATATAATGCAGCCATATATCAGAGCAGGGTTCCGTGTTGCTGTGACGGGGCCCGCACCGCTGCAGGGCAGCTCGTGTTCAGAGGCTGCAGCCTCCACTGGTTTCCTATCCGGATATATCTGACCGGTCCAGATAAAGCAGCGGGGCCAGTGGCCGCTTCCTCTGGACTGTGGCTCAGAGAAAGTGGAGAGAACAGAGACAGAGAGACAGACTGGAGGAGACGGGGACCTGATGGACGTCTCCATCACCAGTGGCGTAGCGAGGCTTTCACTGCAGATGGGCACGGAGCAAAAAGGGCACCTTTGTCTCATTTATAGTCCAGTACTGCACAGAAATACTGTCAACGGAAGTATTAAATAATAATTACTATAATATATATATATGTTCCGGTTTTTTAAACATAACTTGAAAAATACATATATTTAAATCTATATCTATATTTTCCCAGGTTTTTTAAAGATAACTTGAAAAATACATATATTTAAATAAATAAAAACACCTCATGTAATGGCCTCCGTACAGAGTCAACAACCTTCATCCTAGAACTGGTGGTGAAGCAGCGTGAGGAAATGAATCATGTTCACAAACAGGCCCGAAATAAATGAATGCATTGATTTATGTGAAAAGAAAAAAAAATGCTAAGAGTACTTCACCAGTACACGGCCCACCTTCAAATAAGTCACAGTATATTTGCTGTCATCATTTGTGGCTCCCTGTGTTTATCTGGAGAAATGATGAAAACACAGCGGAGTCTGATCGGCTGCACCAAATATGAAGAAAATGCATTTAAAACAATATTTAAAATAATGATGGAATGGAATTTATTCTTTACTGCAGCAGCAGTTTTGCACAGTGGTTTTGTTTGCCAGGTAAAAACGATCAAATGTATCAATTTCTAACGTTTTTGATCCATTAAATCTCCTGATGATGCTCCGCTCTCTTATGAAACAACCTTGATTTCACCTTATGATGCTCCGCTCTCTTATGAAACAACTTACACTAATATCATTGAGCTCCATCACTTCTAAAAATGAAATAAATAATTACAATAATAACAATAACAAAGAATGACTTAAAAAATGACACAGGTTAAAGTTTGTGCAGAAATACGTTTCAGGTTGTGTCGTTGACCCCCCCTCCGCCCCCCTCAGGTCACCCCCTCCTTTAAACCCATTCCTATGTTTCTCCACAGTCTGCGGCCAGACGAGCAGGCACCTGCTGTGCTAACTGTCAGACGACCACTACCACACTGTGGCGGCGCAATGCAAATGGTGACCCAGTGTGCAACGCCTGCGGCCTGTACTACAAACTACATAACGTAAGTCTGCAAATACTGAGGGAGAGAGAGAGAGAGAGAGGGGGGGGGGGGGGGGGGGAGAGAGAGAGGGGTTGTTGGTGTTTTCTTTCTTTATTGTTTCCATGGCAGACTTAATCCCCTGTGTCACAAAGGTCAGACTGGTTAAGTGGGACTGCGAGGCTTTCCTACCAACATATTCAGACTGCAGGCATTAGTTGATACCGATCAGTGAGTTAGTGGTGCCAGTGTTCAAGGACTTCATTGTTGATGCGGCATACGGTAGTCAATAAATCCTGGGAAAAACAGAGCCAACGTCGCGTATAAATGTACACGTACGACGTGGTGAAGCTAACCTGTGGTCAGTTCTAACACGTAGCCTTGACGTTAGATATCGACAAGTGATGAATGCAAAACAAAATGCAGCCCAACTGCCCAGAACCTCACATCCAAATATGCACAAAATATTTTTCCAAATGTAATGCAACATGGGTCACTTCCACTAATGAAAAAAATCAAAGTAATGATCATTAATCACCAACATATAGTTTGGAAACCAGGAAGAAAATACATCTGTTTTCCTGTCGTCTAAACCATTGTTTCCCAAAGTCTGGGTCGCGACCCTTAAATGGGTCGCAAGAGATTTATTTTTATTTTTTTTGGATTGTCTCACATCATGTTTCCCAGGAGTTTACGAATAATGTCTATTGACTTGGTTCGCGAAGGTTTGTGGGTCCCCAGAAAAAATGTTTGGGAAACACTGGTCTAAACTTTAAGCTAGTAGTTTTCTGGATTAGCTTAGCTTCCGTATCGCTGCCGGACTAAAACAGAACACTGACATCTCTTAACGTTGGGTCAAGACCTGACAATCAGCCCTATTTGTCTCACGACCGGCAAAAGTATCAGGATCAAAGAACAGGTTCAGGGCCTGGAACAAGGACACATCAGCATGTAGCCCTTGAGCCAATGACAGAAGAGACTCTAACCAACTGCTCTTTTTGCCACAGGTCAACCGGCCTCTGACCATGAAGAAGGAGGGAATACAGACTCGCAACAGGAAAATGTCCAACAAATCCAAAAAGAGCAAGCGAGGCGGCGACAGCTACGAGGAGTTCTCCCCCTTCAGTGCTGCCTCTCTGGCCGGACACATGTCCATGGGCCACTTGCCACCTTTCAGCCATGCTGGACACATGCTCCCTACACCCACCCCAATCCACCCAACATGGTGACAGCCAAGGGCTTAGTGGGTGAGGAGGGGGGAGGAGGGGGGGGGATGGCATAGAGCTACTTGTTTCTGTAAAGGGGTCTCAATATAAGGACCGTGGGGGACACTGTTATGGACATGCACCTTTATTGTACTTGTTTCTTGGTTATGACGGTGGTACTGTATGTTGGATTTTAAAATTATTGTTGGAGCAAATTGCATTTTTTTAAATTCTATCTATAAATAACTACAACTCCTGTTTCCAGAAAAGTTAAAAACACACAAAAAAAAAATTTTTTTTTTTTTACCACAAATTTTGTCCAGGCAAATGTATATATTTTACTTGCTTGTTTGTTAAATCGTAACAACTTTTATACTTCAAACGTCGGAGTTTGGTTTTTGTTCGTAGCTTCTTTGATTAGCAAGTTCAAAGGTATGACGTCTGGATGTCGAATTAAGACATGAAAGGAGCATCAACCATCGGTCGGATTCTGTACGAGTCACCGCAGCACGGTGCATGTTCAACCGACTGACCTGCCTGCAGTCCAGATCTGTCTGCGATTGAAAATGTCTGACACCGTGGACTGATAAAAAAAACTAAAACTTTGTCTTTATTTTAATAAAGTCTGATAAAAGTAACGTTTTCAAACGGTTTAACAAAGAAAATGAAATATGAAACATTCAAATTTTTTTTTTTGGGTCACATTTCTAGAAAGAAAAGCAACTTTCCTGGAAATAGGTCTTGAGTTATTTGTGGTGAAATCTTCTGCCTCCCGTCAACCAGGGACACGGTCGTGTAAATGAAATAAAAACGTCACCACAGCTCACAGTTTTGCTCCAACAACCTCCACTGGTTTCCCGACTGTCTGTGATGTGGTCTATATAACTGTGAATATTGTAAATACGGTGGACTGTGAGTGGAGGCGCGGCTGTGTGTCACAGAGCAGCGCTCACACTCACAACAAAGATGTGCTGGATCTCTTTTTTTTTAATTATTATTATTATTATTTTATTATTATTATTTGGCTCATGGACACTTTTGAAGAAATCGTTTTTTCCCCAAAAGAAATGAGCAAAAACAAAAGTCTTTATGGAAACCCTAATTTGACACTGTTTATTATAATTATTGTTATAATGGTTATTATTGTTATTCAGATAATTTATTTTTACTGCCTGTGTTCTTTGAATATATCACCTGAATCTTATGGATACTGCTATCCCAGTTATGAATATATTTTTAGCTGATGTGGTTTCTCTCTGAGCTGGTCGACATTTATACTCATACGAAATAAAGAAATCGAGTTCATCATCCAATCTGCTCCTTCTGTTCAATACCTAAACACCAACGATTCACAGCGTTTTTATATCACAGGTTTCACCAACGACTCGTGATGTGATCTTTGGAATGAAAATCCTCTGTAACATTTTCTGTTAGCTGTTCTAACTGTTAGCTAATTTGTGTGTAGAGGTTTTAAGTTAGTGTTTTGCTCCTTCTGCTCCTGAACTCACGCCGTGTTCATCGATCACCTCCAACATCCTGACAGACAGAACGCAGGTCGTCACTTTATAACCTTTCCAGAAAAAAAAGTGAACATTTATTGGATATGTTGTTATTAAAAAACCATTTAATCCTTCCACCGGTGACTGAGGAACTTTATTTTTATATTCAGTCAGAGGGAAAACCGACCGCTGTGTTTGAATTAGAAACTGATCACAGGTCAGCGACGAAGCCACAGAGGAATTTTCCCTCATTCTTTATGTCTTTAGAACGTTCTAGACCCACACAGCTGTTTTTCTCTGTGGAAAATGATATAAAACCTGACGGTTGATGAAAACTTGATGAAAACTTGATGAAAACTTGATGGAACTTTTCTTTTTTAAAGAAATAAAGTCGTTTTAATTCTCTCAAAATGCTCTACTTTACATGAGGCAAACCTAACTTTAAGTTAAAAAAGTAGAATTCTAGTTTGTTTTTTTTGCACGTAGTTTTATGATTGACTAACAGGGTGTACACTGCTGCCACCTGATGGAATGATTGACTAACAAACTGCCCAGGGTGTACACTGCTGCCACCTGATGGCTGCTCTGAACCACCCTGGAAGAAGTAAAAGATAAACAAAGTGAAAATATTTATGTTTCTTCTTTCAGTTGAAGGTTCCAAACCTTGGTAAAATGACTGAAGTCCCCGCCCAGCGAGGATTAGAGTTGTTGACAGAAAGTGATCAGGTGGAGACATATGTTCCCACGTGTGATTAACCAGTTGCATCTGCTCACTGGTAATGCTCTTATGAAATAGACTGTCTCATTGTTAACCCGCCGCACACAGGTTCTAATCCCACGGCGATGTAGTCAAAGAGTTGACTTCAACGACGACAAAGGCTTATTTTAACTTTTCATTCTATTCCTTAAAAAAAAAAAAACAATGATCTTTTTCGTCTCTTCGTCGTCTCTTCTTTAAACTGTTGTTTATTTGTACGATCAAACAGACGTTTTGTTGAAACGGTCTTGGGTTTATTCAGGTAACAACTTGTTGTCGATACGACCAAGTTTGTCGTTCGAGGGCTCATAGTTCATGCACATTCAGCAGTGGGTTCTACCTTTGGCCTCGACACAGATTTCTCTGGATTCTCTGAATATCTTCACCACCGTGACGTGGATGGAGACACGTCTCATTTTTCCTTTACTTCAGGTATTTATTTATTTTATTAAAAGTTTTTTTTTAACCAAGTTCAAACCCCACTGGTGAGTTCAGTGGTGGAAAAGAAGCAGCCGCCGGAGGATGATCCTTATTACCCAATCTTAATACCCAGACCTGATATCAGTTCACCTCAAAATGGAGGCCCCTCCCACACAGAGACTTCAACGACCTTTTTTTAAGTCTTAAGATCCTCTGTTCCAATTATGACAGAGTGTGTCGCCGACCCGCGTTTCTAAACGAAGACTCGTCCAACTCCCTGAGCTCTGAGGCCTGATACCGCACTGGTCACAGCGCCAACATGAGGACGGCGTGCGGCCCCTTCCCTGACCTCTGACCCTGGATGCACTTACGGTGTCACTCATGCCCGACTGCTTGGATTCACTTATTTACTGCCGCTCTAAAAATGTCACGTTATACGGAAAAATATGACACGAGGAGAGAGCGATACTGGCCATAAATGGAGCGAAGAACGGAGCATTAAAGAACCAAATCTGTGAGGCACATCTCTGAGGACGGGTGGGAGGTTGGGGGGGGGTTATCTCACATCAGCTCATAAGTGAGAATTATAGGCTGGAATATAACACAGGTTCTCCCTCCTCTGTTCTTCTACAAAATTCAATTAGTGGAATCAAAAGAAGTGTTTGGATTTCTACTGGAGTTCAGAGGAGAGAGCACGGGGGAGAGAAGGGGAGGAGAGGGGAGGGGAGAGGGCAGGGAGTTCTAACGGTGATGAAACAAGAGAGAAGTGGATTTTTTTGTTTTATGTTTGAAGACGGAAGAACGAGGTCGTCGTTCCAAACTGGGGGACACTACTGTCGATGGGAAAATCAGCAGCAGAACGCATGATATTATTTTCCCTGTGACCATGACCGTGGTCAAGGAAGTACAACGTCGATACTCCTGCCTCCTAGAATGACAGATAAGACCGGTATTTGACAAACACGGGATGAGAGCTGTGTCAGATCAATTCAAATACAGAGAGAGACGTAGGTGAAACAGACCGGTCACATCAACAAACCCTCAGATTATTCACCCTGGTGTTGACCTGGGGGACACTTTTGTAGTGGGGTCGAGAACCAAAGGTGTTGGATACTTCATCAGGATGAAAATGAACAACAAGTCAAGTGACATAAATTACAAATACACACACACACACACACACACACGTGCGAGTCTCCACAGCAGGATGACCAACGTTGTTACAGTTATCGCGGTTTCTGCAGGCGCCACATGACTCGCCGTGAGCGTAACCGCAGATTTGCGATGGAGCTCCGATCCCGCTGACATGCAGAGCGTTCTCCCTGAGAAGTGGGACACCCTCCAACCACCTGATCCACGGCCACTGACAGTCTCTTTCAAACTGCTTTTCTTCTGCTGTCTGAGGCAGACAAATTCATCCCTCTTGTCTCCAAACAATCGCCTCTTTTCTTCTGCCTGTTGCACCAATGAAAGCGGGAAGAAGGGGGGGAGGGGGGGGGGCTCCAGGAGCAGAGAGGGAGGGAGAAACGCATCTGCTCCACAGAGCTGCACCGAAGCACTCGGCTAATGTCCTGCGTGTTAGGGCCCCAGGGACTGGGCGTCTGGGCCCCACTATCTTATAACACAGTTGACAAAAAGCCCAGGGCTCTACCCTCAGGAAATCTGAGAGGCGGGGTATCTAGGCCGGGAGGGAAAGAACTAAGGAGGGAGGGACAAAACACGCAGGTACGATGCTCTTCCACTGGCCCATATACAGTACAGCGACTATGGCCAAGATCAATGCACCGTCGCACAATGGAGCAACAATACACACTTACTGCTAAAGGTTTAAATGTCCCGTTTTTTTTTAACCGCACTGATTATTTTGCAGAACAAAGTTGTAATGCTATCTAAGTGTTTTGTGTTTTATTGACAAGAATTGTCCCTATTATTCTGGTCAAATCAGGGAATGTAGGTCTAATGGAGGAATCGGGAAACGCCACGACAAACTGAGCTCTGTCACGCAGTCAGTGGAACTGCGATCTCCAGATCTCACATGTGAAAGTTTAAAACTGGGAAATAAAGATCTGCTGCAGCAGGGCTGAACCTCGTAGGCATCAAGCATGTGGTCTCTCTGGGAATTGAACCCAGGACTCCGAGGCAGGCGGGCTAACCGCTTCACCGTGGAACCACTTTCACAGTTGTCAGCCAATCATGGCTCGCCTCATGACGCTCACCCTACTGGACACAGGAACGTCAGCGTCTCTTCATACATGACATGAACTTTACTGGTTTGACACAGAAACGTGTGAAGTTCAGGTCCAGTTCTGGTTCTGGATCACAGTCTGGACACAGAGGTTTTCCTGAGTCGGTGAATCTAACTGTAAACTGGCTGTTTTATTATTTAAATGTATTGAATTTGTTTTCCTTCAACAGCCAATGTTTTTCATCTCCTGAACTGTTCAGTTGTTGATAATAATAATAATAATAATAATAATAACGTTACCTGGGTGACATTTTTTAATTTGATTTTCCAGCTTATTAACACTAACTAATTATTAAAGGCTTGATTTGAGATATTAGTCCTTCACTAATCGTATTTTGTATAAAATATTATTCCATTATTGTTACTGATTGTCATCATTTTCAATTGGGTTAGGAAGAGAAAATGGGTTTGTTTGTTTGTTTGTTTGTTTACACTAGGTATTTAATCCTGACTTTTAATTAAATCAATTACCTCATTATTAATAAACACGCTCTTTCAATTATCAACTTTCTACAAATGAACATGAAGGTGTCGGAGCGAAACCCGAGGCTCTAGGCTGGGTCTGCGTCACACAGCTGTAAAAAGTCAAACAACACAGCGAGTCATTCTTTGACAGCGTAAACATCAGGGTTGGATGTTATTCATACGCTACATAGATGGCGCTGACGTTAAAATATGACAGGACCTGGAGTTTAGTATTAATCTGACGCCGTCATCAGCAACATGTGAAGACAAAGACGACAAATCGATGGAAATTAACCGCTGGTTGTGGATTTCTCCACTTCCTGGTTGTAAACATTCCCAAATTAGGGGCATGGGTGTGATGTCATCATACAAGGGGAATCAAACTCATTTTGGGTCACAGACCTAATACATCCTAATTAGATATCAAGTGAGCCGGACCAGTACAATCACAACATAATCACCTATAAATAACAAAAAATGTCGTCTTTTTTCCCTTAATTTTCATGCAAAATAAAATTAGATAAATCTTCATATTTAATTTTACAAAACATTTCCTGAACATGAAGTCCTTCAAAACTAATCAAGCGAGCCAGGATTTAAACCCCAAGCGGGCCGGTTTTGGCCCACGGGCCGTATGTTTGACACCCCTGAGCTTGCATATTTGTCAAAGTGAAAGACTAGCTTAACGCAGCTTAACCGCGACCAATAAAAGACCAATAAATCTGTTAGTGAGTGTCATTTCATCACATTATTAAACCACGTTATTCATCAGATAATTACTGTATCAGTTGTCACCCCTGCCCTCACCCCTGCCCTCACCCCACCGTCTGACAGTATATTAAACATAACTATAATGAACAGTTCATATTAAATGGATATGGATTTTTACGGCAGCGTGTGAGAACGTTGGTGCGCCGCCCCCCCTGG